AATTTAGAAATAAAAACATTATGATTGTTTTAAACTATTAAGTTGTTCACGTAATAAAATTTCCTCCTTTAGAATTTTTAAGTTTTTTTGCCTTAATTCAAGTTTTTTGTTTTTCTATTCAATATAATTGTCTTGTTCTTGTAATGTAGGAACCATGGTTAAAGTTGATGTAGAAGATAAAGATAAATCTTCATTTTTTTCATTTGATGATTGGTTTTTGCGTTTTTTTTATGATATGGACCTTGAGATGGGTTTATTTTTCATTTTTCTAAATAGTTTATCAACTGTTAAATTGAATTATATAAATTATTAAAAAAAAATTATACTTACGGGTTCTTTTTGAATTATTTGTCAATCGGGCTAATTTAGATTTATTTCTATATGATTTATGCACATTATACTTTTCATACATTTTTGCTAAATTCCATTGATATTGATCAAATCATTACCCCTATAAATTAAAAAAAAATATTTTTTTTAATTATGTATTAGATTAATATCAATTTATTGAATTTGTATCGCAGCTTTAACTTCAAATATATACCGGTATATTGCTGCTAACAAAGATAAAGATCGACTATCGTTATTTATATTGGCATGTGCCGATTCACTAACATTAGTATTATTTGGCAAATATCAGCATTTATTTGAGTAAATGCAGATGAAAGTCTAGCCAATATCCACGGCTTATATTTATCATTAACCCACTCTATTTTTAAATTTAAATCAATATTATATATAGGTTGCCATTAATAGAAATCAAGCAGATCTACATTTGAAAAAATCAATACCTTAAATTTCACAGCTCATATCTCGATGAATTTTAGAGACATTTTGATGATTTAATATTCAAAAGAAAGCTTATGATCTAAGCTTTCTTTTGAATATTAAATCATCAAGATGCCTCTAAAATTTATTGAGATATGAGCTGTGAAATTTAAGGTATTGATTTTTTTTCAAATATAGATTTGCTTGATTTCTATTAACGGCAGCCCATATAATTTGCTTTAGAAAAATGATATAATTATAAAAAAAAACCTGCTGCTCCCGGTTCATCGGATTTCTTAATTTTTTCTAATATGTTCAATATTTCCTCTTGTGTATTTAATTTAGTAATAGAATATATTAATTCTTTCGTTTAGTTAGAAATAGCCTTATTCTAAATATTGCTACATATAATAAATGTAGTATTAATTTAATAATATATAAAATAAACTTTAATAATAAATTACTTACCGATTGAAATGAACTTAACATAATTTATAAATATGTTTTAAGTGTTCTTCACATGATAAATAACTATACTTCAAATGCAAATATTGCCCGAAACCTATTTAAATAAAAAAATAAATAAATTATAAATATAACACATATATCAACATTTTGTAATTATTTTTTCACTATACAGACTGTGCACAGTATACAAAAACAAAATTTTATACATATTTTCTTTTGAACAGACATGCGGATATCGAACAGACAAAATTAATATTTTGTAAGTAGTGCGATTTGCAGTATTTACCAAGTGCTTGTCCTTGATATTCATCCACAATTATACAGCCTAATCTACGACTATGAATATGCTGAAATTCAAATGGCTTGTGCGTATCATTTTCAACATTATCAAACAAATCTTCAAACAAATATTGATATGCTTTAGCTAATTGAAAATTTGTAAAAACTCATGCAAAAACCAGTGCTATGAAAACATATATACGTATAATTAAAATATACTATATTATTTATTAATTTAATACGTAATAATAGTAATTTTACCTTTTTGATAACGATGAACATATGCACAAATTTTCCACTTATTTGCAGCACTGTGAATTCTTTTGAACGCCATATCAATCTCAACATATAATGATTGAGAAAGCAATTCTGTTTGTTCTTTTCGGGCACATAAAACAAGATATTGACCACTATCAAGAAACTCTAAATTAAACAATTTAATTAGTTATAATTTAAATAATTTAGCTTAATGTTAATTACTTACTAACTGAACAAATATATGGATCTGATGATTCTTTTTGTTTTAATAATTCATGCGCAACTCCTAAAAAATATGAATCTGTTTTACTTCATCAACAATCATTTTACTAATAGCTTACTTAGCTAACACATACCAAGTAATATGTTGGCTAAGTAAATTTTCGATAAAATAATTGTTAGTGAAGTGAGCATTACCAAAAAATATAACAAGTGTAAGTTATAATTAATTGAACTTAAGTGTTTCTAGTAATAATAATACAGTCAGACCTCTCTTAGTGTACCCTCTATAAGTACATACACTATCTAAATGCATGCTTAAGTGCTAACCCAAAAATTGTATATTTTGTTCTAATGATTAATTAATTTAAATAAATATACTATATTTACCCATTATATCTTGCACGAATAGATATTTTGATTGTCTATTTTTTTCGCATTTACGGAATCTGTGCTTAGTTATGCATAATGTAGATCATGTGTAACATATTGTACTACCATTACAATAAATCTTCAATCAAGTTAAAATCGCCACCCCAAAAAAAGTTTTGATCATTACGTGACAAGTATATCGAGCACCAAAAAGTCATTTAACTTGAACAAACAAAATTTATA